GGCAACGACGCCATAAAGTTGATCGCTCTCGACTCGACACTACACTAAGGTAGGAAAGCGGGACCGCAATAGCTTTTACCCGAATAGTGGTTCGGGATCGAATTTCCACAGGGAGCTAGTAGTGGAGTTGTATTGTCTGTGTAGTCTAGAATTGCGGTTGTGCTTCTAATGTCACTTCTAAACATTTTTGGTTTTCTTTGATTTTTATATCTACTATTATAAAGCTAATGAGTAAAACTAAATTATTCTATGAGAATATTGCTAAGTTGTATTTAATATAGAGAAAGGCACTAGGGTCGTGGCATTGCCTAGGTGGCTAATTAACGGGTAGATGCTACTAAGGATAGATTGACATATTTGGGGCATATGCTATAACCGTTGCACAATTGTACCCACTCTCACACCTCTCGGTAGAGAGAGTGATTTTGCCCAATTGACTCTCTCGAGACCAATTGGGTAGGCCAATTAGACCAAGCAACTAGGGTTCAAGTAGGGTGATTACTCTCTCGAGATTTAACCTGTTAATTGGGACTACCATTTCTCATGAGTCCATCCCAATTCCTTGTTGGGTCAATTTTGGGGTCATGGACTCTCTTTCTCAAGAAGAGTTAAACCACAAAGCTAGAATCAGTGTTTGCAACCACCAATCCTTAATTAAAACATAAAATCAACCCAAATAACAAACATCCAATACAATCTAACCTTAGATGGCAACACCCATCAATTACCCACACTAGGGTTGAGCCACAACCCTAGCTAATGGTTTAGCTACTCATGCTAGGTACAGAAATTAAAGAAATAGATGAAGAAGTAAGCATATTAATTAATTGCTAGGAAGAAAATACAATAATGAAGAGCAAAAGTGCCAAAAATGGCTACAATATTCGGTCTCATGAGCTCAGCTGCGTTCAGAACATAAAACTTGACCTAAAAAGGGAAAAAGGTCCTATTTATACTGGGCTGGAAAAACTGGACAAAAATACCCCTGCGGGGTCAGCGCGGACCGTACAAACATGACCGCGGCCGCACTGGCTCTTGAACTCCTGGTTTCTGCTTCTCTGAAGTTGAGGACCGCGGACCGCGTGAAAATGTAGCGCGGCCGCGGTGGAAGTTGGCGCGGCCGCACTGAAATGAACGCGGGCCGCTTTGCTTGGAATTGGCCAAATTTTGGCTCTCTGAATCTCTGCTCCGCGGACCGCGTAAAAGAGTAGCCCGGCCGCGGAGCCTGACTGCGTACCACGTGGAAATAACCGCGGCCGTGTAGCATGCTCCCTTGAATTTGCCATCCTCTGATCCTCCTAGTGCGGCCGCGTTCACAGTTGCGCGGTTCGCACTAGGTCCTCTTTTCCTCAACTTACTTAGTCTTTGACACTTGAGCAGGTTTCACTCCTTTTTGAGCCAATATTTGACATTCGTCGCTTTGTCGATCAAACCTGCAATCAAGTACAACTTGTGAGCATTTTGGGACTATTTTGTAGCAATTTATAGCCAAAGCATAGGCAAGTAAGGGCATAAAACAAGTTAAAATCCTAACTTATCAGCGGCCGCGGTCCATTCTGTGCGGTCCGCGGAGCCCAAGTTCAGAGAGATCAATTTTGAAGACCAAAGCCTAGTGCGGACCGCAATCCATTTTGTGCAGTCTGCACTAACCCCGCAGGGGCATTTTTGTCCAGATTTTTCAGCTTAGTATAAATAGATTATTTTTCCATTTTTAGGGTAGCAGATATTGTAATACGTAAGCTGCGCTCGTGAGACGACTTTTCTTAGCCATTTTGGGCATTTTTACTTACTTTCCATCATTGAATCTTTGTATTTAGCTTAGCAATTAATTAATATGAGTTCATCTTCATCTATTTCTTATTTTTCTTCTTTGAATATGAGTAGCTAGGGTTGTGGCTCAACCCTAGTGTGGGTAATTGATGTGTCTTGTATTTTAGGGCTAATTTGATTATGGGTGTTTGTTATTTGGGCCAATTTCATGGTTAATTTCTGAATTAGTGGTTGCAAACACTAGTTTGTGTTGAGTTGGCTTAAGCTCTTCTTGAGAAAGAGAGCCTAAGTCTCCGAAATTGGTCCAACAATGAACTGGGGCATACTCAAGAGATTGATAGCCCCAATTAAAGGGTTAAACATTGAGAGAGAAATACCCGAATTGAACCCTAGTTGCTTGAGCAAAAATGCATACCCAATTGGTCTTGAGAAAGCCAATTCGGGCAAAATCACTCGAACCACCGAGAGGTGTAGAGTGGGTAAACTCGTGCAACGGTTATAACATACTCCCCAAATATGTCAAATGTGCCTTAGATTCGAGTACCCGTCAATTGACCACCTAGGCGGTAGTCACCACCCTAGTGCCCTTTACACTATTTGAACAACCCGTAGAATTTAACCCTTAGCTTAATTTACAATTTGTAGTTTGTTAAAAGTAGAATTATTAAGAAAACCCCAAAAATGAATAGAAGTGTAATTAAGAACACATACGCAATCCTAATCTAGATAGATACTCGATTCCAATCCTAGCTCTCTGTGGATATCGATCCCGACCCAAAATCGGGTAAAAGCTATTGCGACCCTCTCTTGCTACTTATTAGTACTGCGGAGTTGGCAGTGATCACGGCTCAACTACATCAGTCGATTCATAGCACATTCCACAGTAATATGTGAACCCATCTTCAAGATGCTGAGAAAAGATGCCGAGACAAGTTGGACCGAGGACTGTCAGAAAGCTTTTGACAAAATCAAGGAATTCCTATCCACACCTCCAGTTCTGGTCCCGCCAGAGCCAGGAAGACCCTTGCTACTTTATCTATTCGTATTATATGGAGCCTTCGGATGCGTTTTGAGACAACATGATGAGACAGGAAGAAAGGAGCAAGCCATATATTACCTGAGTAAGAAATTCACGCCTTATGAAGCACGGTATTCTCTGCTTGAACGCACTTGCTACGCTTTGACCTGGACGGCCTAGAAGTTGAGGCATTAGTTCTGTACTTACACTACACACCTCATATCCAGGATGGATCCTCTGAAGTACATATTTCAGAAGCCCATGCCTACGGGGAAGTTGGCTAAATGGAAGATACTACTGAGTGAGTTTGACATCATCTATGTAACTCAAAAGGCAGTCAAGGGACAAGCATTGGCAGATCACCTCGCTGAAAATTCGGTGGGAGGAGAATACGAACCCTTGAAAACGTATTTCCCTGATGAAGAAGTATCATTCGTAGGAGAAGACATTACGGAAGCATAAGATGGTTGGAGGATGTTCTTTTACGGAGCCGCAAATTCCAATGGAGTGGGCATTAGAGCAGTCTTGGTATCAGAAACGGGTCAGCATTATCTCGTATCTGCTAAACTCAGATTT